GGGGGGGGGGGGGGGGGGGGCGCATTGTTGGGGTCTGGGCTGTGGGTGGGCTTTGGGCCTTGGGGGCGGTCAGTGTTGGGGCCGGTGCTTCGGTTCCTCCTGGGCTGTTCCGATTCTTTTAATCTAGGTTCCTGGTTGCGATGGCCGGCACTTTGACCGGGGTAGCTACCGGCTTTCGGCGGGGGGTCGGCTATGGTAGTGTACGTGTGGTCATTGGTGGTGTAGGGCGGCGGTTGGGGGCGTGGCTTCGCCTCATCCGGGCACTGGCTGGTCTTCCTGTGTGGCATTTGCAGTAGGGGTGCTGTGTGTGTGGGGGGGTGCATGGGTGGCGTGCTGGGGCGTCTCCGGGCCTATGGTGCGGAGCTCTTGATGTGAGAGCCGGCCCTCCTCAGCTGCGGCTCCCTGCTGCTCTGCCCCTTGGGCTGGGGCCGGCCTGTGGTCGCTGTCAGGTAGATGGTGCATGCGGTCGGGCTATCTGTGTGTGCCTGTTGGTTGCTCAGGTTGGGTTTTTGGTGGTCCCCCCTCTCTTGGATCAATTTGGGCCCCAAGTTTGGTGTGGGGCCCACTCCCCCCGGTCGTGCCCCCCTTTGGCGGGGGACCCCCTTGCCGCCGGTGCATTGGTGGCTCTCGGTGTCTGGGCTGGGTGGTGGGGTGCACGTCGGTCCGCCCTGGTTGCTGCCTGGCGGGGCCTGGGTGCCCTGGCTCTGTCGGGGCTCTGCTGGGGGGTGGTATGGCCTCGGGGCTTGGTGTCCATGGCCAGATCTACTTGGGGGGGGGCATGGGTCGCTGGCTGGGCCTGTGGACTCGTCGCTGCAGCTTCCTGGAGGCTCTGCATTGTGGTGGCTGGGGTCACCCGGTTCTTTCCTCTGCTCCTCTCTGGGGGGGTGCGGTTCTCCCTGTTGGGAGACTCTTGGGGCTCCGGGCCTGTGGGCCGCTGTGTGTCTGTGGCTCCGGTCCTCCCTATGTTGCCATTGTGTCCTGGGGGGGCGGATCTGTGGGCCCCCACGTCCACTATTGGGCATTCTTTTGGAGAAATCTGGTGGTGGCGGGCGTGCTTGCGCGGGTGTTTGGATTCAGGTGCTTTGACAGATGCACGCTAGGTTGGGTAGTGGTGGAAGCTAGATGATTCCTTGTGCCATGTCGAATGTTTCATGGTGATATTGTGGGTGGCATTGTGCTGTGAATGTTGTTTTGTCATGGTGGTCTCTCGTCTTATCTTCTTCTCTTTTATTATTTATTTATTCTTCTTTCTTCTCTTTCTATAAAAAAAAAATAAAAATTGAGCGATGATGATAAGTTCATTGAAACACTTCACAATGTTTCTACACTTAAACTGAGCTCACAAAAAAAAAAAAAAAAAAAGAGACAAACGAGACAAACAACCATTCACTCTCTCACTCACACCTAGGGACAATTTAGAGTTACCAATCTGTCTAACATGCATGTTTTTAGTCTGTGGGAGGAAACCGGAGTACCTGGAGAAAACCTACACATGCACGGAGAGAACATGCAAACTCCACCCAGAAATGATCCATGGCTGGGATTTGATCCGGCGACCTGCTCGGTGAGAGGCAGCAGCTCTACCAACTGTGCCACCCTGTGCCAACAGGGCCCATCTTCAAGCCCTCGGCATTAAAAAAACAGGTTTGAGATAACTACATGGGCTCAGGATCACTTTAACAAATCATCGTCTGTAAACACAGTTCACTGTCCCATAAAAAATGCTGATTACAGAAGAGGCCTTATGTGAGCACCAACTATAAAACGCTACCCTCTTCTCTGGACTGAAACTCATTTAAAATGGACTGAGGCAAAGTAGAAAACTGTTCTATGGTCAGACAAATATAATTTTTATGTTTGGAAACCTCAGATAACATGTCCTCCGTACTTAATGGGAGAGGGACCATCCAGCCCATCAGCAGACAGTTCAAAAGCCTGCCTCTCTGATGGGATGGGTGTGCATTAGTGCCCAAGGCATGGGCAGCTTACACATCTGGAAAGGCACCATCAATGCAGAAAAGTATATGCAGGTTTTATAACTTCAACAACTGGTCTCATCAAGTGACTGTTGTTAAAAGAAAAGGGGAAGCTTCACAGTGGGAAACACAACTTCTTGAGATATGCTGTTGCCATCAAATTCAAAGTAACTTTTTTACTGTACATTAGCTTAGCTTCTACATTTGATATATTTTATTAGGTTTTAATGTGAATAAAATATGGGTTTATGAGATTTGAAAATTGTTGCATTTTATTTTTATTTACTTTTTACACAGCGTTCCAATTTAGTTGGACTAGACGTGTAAAGCTGTGTAAAGACTGAATCTCCCTAAAATACAAAAAGAAACCTGGTGAACTGAAGTACAAACTGAGATGCAATGAGGATCATGTCTGAATGCTTGGGAAGTTTTGTGTTTCCTCTCGGTTTAGGATCATTTTTCCCTTCTGTTGCACATTGACTGGTTATTAGCAGCAGGTTACACATTAGAAAGTCTAGTTAATGGGACTGGAGTTTTAACTGGCAAGAGTGAGTCAGTGCTGATCAAAGGCAAGTCAAAATGCATCCTAATAGCACATTCACCAACAACTTCTGCAAACCAGTATGCTGAACAAATCGTAAAGCTTATTGTCAATAATTAATAAATCAGAGGAAAAAAGTGCCCTAGTATTTCTTGAAAGAATGCATATTGCCCATTGCCTTTTATGCCAGAATTTTAACCTAAGGTAGTCTTATGTTGAGAAACGCTGTCCTTTTGATCAAATCTTAGAGAAAAAAAACATTATGTTCAATATGATCCAATATTGCAAGACCAGTATAGAAGCTCTGAGGTTCAGTGATGGTGCTGGAGTTTATTCTACATGTGGACTTTCTCTGTTAGCACTGTTGAGACTAACTATCAGCCATTACTAATCAAACTTTAACTCAATATATGTAAAATAACATGAGTTATGGTTTGATTGTGTTTCCTAAGGACAATTATCTGTGGTAGCCATCTTGAATTTTGTTTGCTCCAAAAATTCATTCAACCTTTATTTAGACAGGTAAATCCCTTGAGCCTCGAGGACTCATTTACAAGAGAGACCTGATTTCAACAAAGAATGATGACAACAATGGACAACAGCGACAACGATAAACAGTTATAAAAAGTCATACAGATTTATTTTTTTTTAACAAATAGGATGGCAAAAAAAAAAAAAAAGAAAAGTAAAAAGAAAAGAAAAGTAACAAAAACCAGCTAGATTCTAAGGCGAATGTAGAAAACTAAAAACAGGAACATGTCTGCATTGGTCCCTGCCAAGAGTCCAACAGATTCTTAAAGCCAGAGGTCAAGGTCGAGAGCTTCAGATCTTTTTGTAAGATATTCCAGGAAACAGGAGTGGAGTAGGAGAAGTTGCTCCAAAATGAATCAGTGGCTAATCACTATGAATCACTGTTGTAAATGTTTACCTGGGGAGGCCTGTTGATGGTGGGTGATAAAAATGGATAATAGTAAATAACAATGAAAAACACTTCAGGAGATGGTTTATCCTCTTTTCATTTCAATTTCTCAACAGGTAGTTTGGGAAGTGTAAAAAGAATAAAAAAATGTTGAACATTCTTCCATTTTGCACATCAGTTTCTAATACACATTTTTAAATGGGGTTTACTGTTTGGTGTTACTATAGTTAGATATTATTTTAAGTTCTCAGATTTATGCTTTATACTCAATATTTTGTTTGGTTTTATCACCGTTGGGGTCAGCTGTGGCTGAGTGGTTAGAGCAGTCGTCCTCCAGTGGGAGAGTTGGGGGTTCGATTCCACCATCAGTCACATGTTGAAGTGTCCCTGGGCAAGACACTGAACCCCTCATTGCCTCCGATGTGTCCCATTCAGTGTATGAATGTGATAAATCACTGATTAGTCTCTTTAGAACGATTAGTTCAATTACCTTTGTAGAGATCTAGTAGAGTGCTGTATGAATGGGTACACAAGGCACAGATTGTGTTGTAAAGAGCTTTGAGTGTCCTGATAACATAGAAAGGTGCTATGTAACTTATAAGTACACTCCATTTACCATATTCCCACAATAATACTGTACTGAAAGTGTGACAAGCTTTTTATTAAAAATAAAGTTGTCCCAGCAGCTTCTGTCATCTTTGTGTGAGGGTGTCAAAGAATGATGTTTAAACAAGTTTAAATAAATCAGAGCAGAGAATCATTTACCTGTAGTTGAGTCAATTACCCACAATTACCCGCTAAATCGTGTTCCAAGGAGGCGCGCTGTGATTGGCTGCGGGCCACTGACGTCACAGTTTGTTCTGGACTCATAAAAAACTCATTCGCTCTCAGACCGAGTGTCGCCGCAGAAGCTCAGTGAAAAGCCGTGAAGTTTTTCCTTTCTAATCAGTGAACCGATGACAGAAAGCGGCTGACAGATTAAAACTCGGACTTGTGCTTTGGAGACGTTTTTCACCGTGAGTCAGTTTCTTCTAAGACGTTTTGAAGCTGGTGGTTTTTAACGCCGTGGGGATTTGAGCCTCATCACGAAGTTCCCAAGATGAACTTCGGCTCGATGGTCGGGAAACTTTGTGTAAGTAAAGACGACATAAAGCTTAACTACATGTGCCATATTTTACTATCTCATGAACCGTATTCAACGCTGGTAATAGTTTGTTTTTAAAAATAATAATAAGTGGTCCAAAGTAGTTTTCCGTAAAGATACTGAATGTTGTGGAGCTGAAATCACAGAAGATGGAACAAGCCTCGTATTGTCCCACAGGAAGCAGCCCTGTGTGTGTTGTTCGTTTAACTGTTTATTCCTGAACCTCGTCGGCTCTTGTTTCTGGGTTCAGACATGTGCTGCAGCAGTCCCCCTCTCTGCCCACTGTACACCCACCATCTGTGTTCCACATCAAGTGGTCAAACAGCACATGCACTATAAGCTGCTAAGGTGAGAGGAGCCATGTTTGCTCCTCAGCCTCACAGAGATGTCTTTTCATCCCCCTCTTGGTTTTTCCAGCTCCTTCTGACATTTTAATCAGTTCACACTGCCAGGTCTGAGTGTTGCATGGTGCGTTCTCTTTGGCCATCATCTAAGTGTTTGTGTTTGTTTGTCTGTTAGCAAAATATCTCAAGACCCACTTGGTGGATTTTGGTGAAGCTTTCGGGAATTATTCATTTGATTGCAGTGGTGCAGTCCATGTTTTTGTAGCGGGTATACTGTGCTTAGAAACCAAAGTGCACTGGTTAATATAATGTCATTGTCAGTTTATTTTGATTTTTAAGCATATTGAACATTTCCAAATTTCTCTGATGCTTTTATTTGAATAAATGGACAACAAACTTTTGTACAGCAGTTGGCTTTGTATTAAAAACATGTTATATAATTTATAAAACTGTATCAAAGCAAAATATGTTCAAGTATTAAGTAGTAAGTACAGAATTATTAGTTGTACAATAATTTGCTGCATAAGCAAATGTAATAAACAAGTGATGCATACATGTAGATTGCTATGGAAGTGTTTAACTCCCATTTATCATAACAATGACGTGTCATGTGTCATTGGGCACTTTTAAATGGGTATACTGAAATTCTTCAGCTTTTCTAGTGGATATACTCCTTATACTCACGTATCGCATAGACTACTCCACTGTTTGATTGACGTCTACAGCTGATTTAACTTTTGGAGTCAACCCAATTCAAGATGGCTACCAAAGTCAACTGACCTTACATAATACAGAAATGATCATAACTCAGTGAATTTGACAGATTATAGTCCTCAGTCTAGTGTGGTTAGCTGAGGCCAACTTCCAACGCATATTCTGAGCGCAAGTGCAAAATGTTGCCATTAACAGTTTGGAGTTAACTTGTTCGCACAATATCTCCTGAACTACAGGGTACGTCTTTACGAAACTTTGAAATCGTTTGATTTACATCTACAACTGATTCTTGGTTGTCGGTTCAATTCAAGATGGCCGCCAGAGCTAGCTGACATTAGTCAACACGAAAGTGGCTTCAGCAGACATTGAGCTAAAGTTTGGTGTGGTAGTAGCTGAGAGTTGACCTCAGCACATGCTTTGAATGCTGACAGCTTTATAAAGTGATTGTTTCACATGTACATGTGATAAGAAGGAAGCCGAGTTAAACTCGTGGCTTTTCTTAACAGACACACACTCTGCAACTCGTAACGGTGAAGTTTGTCAAAGTGAATGTAACAACCGTGGATTATTTGTGTACTTTCTGCATATTTGTTTAAAGTCATGTCATGTTCCGTCCCTGAAATCAGATTCTCATCTCCGGGCGGCAAAGTCAATGTTTCTGTTTTGTAAACCACAGGACATTCTGGAGACCTTGTTGCTACGGGACTGTAAGGAAACTTCATCCCCCTTCCTCTCCTTGTACCCATTACTCCCCCCCTCACACACACACACAAATACTAACACACACTCCTTTTAAATTGCTAGAGCGTACGTGCTTGTCCACCCAGTAAACTTCCTGTCCCGAGTACACAGATGGGCTGATATTAGTGGCATCAATTTACTTCTTAGGATTATCATGCCCGTGCAAATGTACACTGGATTGTTATCTTTTGATTGCTTACTGTGTCTGGGTGTGGGTCCGCACAGGAAATGGTCCCTTCTGTCTCTGTGGACAACCGAACGAGGGCAGGACTGACATGTGGGACTTGCCAAACTTTTGCACATGCAGCCAACAAACTGCTTTGCTGCTCCGAAAGAGCCTGGTCATTCCTGCAGTAACGTTCTGTCAAACATCCATAATAAGTACTAGAGATTGACCCTTATGAGTTTTTCTATGGTCAGTGAGATCTTTGGAAACTGAGGCGTTTTGTTAATTAACAAAATATAACAATAATTGCTTTACTTAATAAATGTACAACCCTTAGAGATTGTCCATTAAAAATATATCTTAGCATTCTCACTTAAAATCTTAAACTTTGTGCTGCTGAACGCTGGTTGTAGCAGCTGCATTTTCATATTCCTATTTTGTAATAACGTATGCAGAAGCGTGGTCGACTGATCCCACCCTCACTGCGGGCCAGCTTTGTAAACGTTTCTTTAAAAGTAAATCATTAATGTACACTAAAATAATGAGCGTCACTTTTTCTGGACCGTGGCACAGAGGAGAGGTGGAATTGTGAAATAACACAATCAGCAAAAAATATTTATTATGGCTCTAAACATATTTAAGTGTTTTGGTTTTTCTCCTTTGACATTATTGAGTGACTTTTAAGACAGTTTATTGCTACTTTCTTGGACAGACTCCTGGATTTTTATTTATTTTGTGCCAAACCCTGTACAGTACTCCAATGACTGATACAGGTACTATTTATAACTATTTGACAGAACATCACTCAAAAATGACAAAAATATGTGTACTGCTTTGCTTGGTGTCCATTTAAAAAGCTTTAATGATTTTGTGGCTAAAAGAAACTACTTGGGCACTGAATGATGCAATGCAGAGCAACCCCGTCCCTGCTGTCAGAGTCCAGGTGGTTTTGTGTTTGAGGCTGTAGACACTGTTAACAGTGCAGGCACGTTTATTAACCCAAGGAAACCTGTTTCTGTTACAGTGGTGAAGGTGAATCACTGCATACTGACTCACTCAGGGCGTGCCACCTGTTCAGATGCTGCCTACTCATACAGCACATGCCACTACACTGAGCTCACACCTCAACACTGTACGAACGAGCTACATTATTATAATTTACTGTGTACAACTAGGCCTGTCGCGATAAACAATAAATCAATTAATCGCATGATGAAAATTATCGACCTCATTTTCATTTATCAGCTTTATCATTTCTTCACACTGGATGACAAAAAGCTCAACTCTGGTTCTCTTCACTGACCCCTCTATTTCTCCTTTCTCTTTAAAATCTGTTTTAACCATCCAAAATCACGTTTTTGGATCATTAAAAGCAGCTAAGCTACAAGCTAAGCTAACAGGCCGACCTCGGGGAATAAACCTCCGTCTTGTCGTCTTGTCAAATTCACAGTTGAAACCCGTGGCTTTGTGTAAAAAGTTTGTTTTTCTCTGCAAAAAGAAGCTGAGAATTTGTTTACTTATTTATTTATTTAGTTTTATTAAAAGCTTTGTGTGAAAAATGTTATGCTGAAGATCTTAAAAAAATTGAATCTGGTCCTCTGGACTTTAGTATAACTTTTTTTTTTTTTTTTAAAGAGTAGGGATGCACCGATCCACTTTTTTTTACTTCCGATTCGATCCCGATACCTAGATCTGAATATCGGCCGATACCGATCCAGTTCCGATATCATGATCATCATTGATTTTATATGAGGCTGTAATAATCTCCTCTCAAGTACAATTTGTACAAATATGTGCATGCATGTCCAAAAAGGCAACTTGAGGTAAGTTTTATTAATGTTGGATAAGTTTTAAAGTTAGAATTAAAATCTGCTAACACAAAACATGTTTCTTTTTATTCCTAGCTTTAAAGTGGATATTAAAGTGATTAATTTAAGTGATTGTTTAAAGTTATTTTATATTTTTTTAAATTAATGGCAGATATAAGAATTTTTTTTCTTCTTTCTGAACTCTTTTCATTCAATGTTTTCTTTTTGATGATTTTTTTTTATTTTGTTTCATTTAAATGAATGAATTAAATAAAATAAAATGTTAAATGGCTTCAAACATCTAAGTTCATGACATAAACCAACAGACATGTTCCCGTTTTTAGTATTTTACTTCACTTTATAATGTAGCTGTTTATGTTTTTAATATATATAATTTTCAAATCATGTTTTTTATGATTGTTTACTGTTGCACTGATAAATATCTCCTGGAGGGTAAACTATATCTTGGCTGCAAGTATCAAGCCGCGAAATCCTTCGTTTTCTACAACTGATAGTGGTTGGTCATTAATTATGATGAAGTTTAGAAAATTCTCTGTAAACATTAGAGCTCCGTGGTTTCAGCGTCTTCTTCTTGTTCAATCCGAAGCAGGCAGCCTGATTTCAGTCAGCTGCGCTCAGTCTGTCCCTCCTCAGAGACGGGCAGACTGAGCGGGTCAGATTGGACACGGCTGGCCGGGGTCGAGTCGCCTCTTTCGGTTTGACCAAAGAGTAGCGGCCCGCTGAAGCACCGGAGCTCAAATGTCCAACGTAAAACTAATTTTACCGCGGTTTAATGTGGCGCTATGGCTCTGCAGACATTGCACGTTGCTGTCTTGTTTTGTGGTGTTTCTAGTGTAAAACACTTCCACACAGCGGACATATTTCGATGAAAAGTTTGTTAGCTGTTAGCCACATTGCTGCCAACTCAGTCCTCACGTTGTAGCTGGCTGCAAACTATGAACTGGATTTCCTGAATGTGAAGTGGGTCTTATTACTTTGGGTTCATGAGACACGCCGCCGTTCAGGAAATCCATTCCATGCATGGATCTGAAATATCGGCAGGTGGATCGGAAAAATCCGATACGTAAATTATGCTGGTATCGGAGGCCGATACTGGATCGGATCAGCCCCATCCCTACTAAAGAGCTCAAACCACACCAAGCATCCGCCATTTTTAGAACCAAAGAAAGGAACGAGAGACAGCTCATGTCACGT